TCAAACCATCGAGATCCGATATAGATCGGCACAAGAGCATGACACGAATGCACAACTGAGCAGCGATCGAGCTCTCAGCACCCACTCACTCCTTTCACCAGAGACTTGGGATCCTTTCCCTCTCTCGCCCGTTTGTAACCCCTACTATAAACTTTCAGTGCTAGTAACATGAGTAGCAGTGACGAACTGGACGTAGGGACTTTCTGCCCGAACCAGTATAAACCTCGTGTCCTCTCAGCACACCATCCGAGCCAGACGCGCAATACTAGAAATTTACTCGTCGGTGGTAATTCGAAACACCGACAAATATTGTTCGGTTGACTGCATGGGTAGATGCAGTAATTCCATGTAAAGATGTTTGATTGCATGTATGGGTGGATACGAAGACTGATTCGTTAGAGGATGTGTTAGAGTGCGCAGCGGAATACGGCCCAGCTCATTAAACCCATGAGTCGGTGCCCCTCGGGCCTAGGTCCACCGGAACCCACAACATGCACGGCCTTAGGCCTAACTCAACCCAAAAGACTAGCCTGATACTACCCCCCACCTTATATGTTGTTGTCCTTCAACATCAATTACCGATATGGGACTAAACCTAACGATCTTCCTCGTCACACATCTGACCCAACTCTTCACATCACACAACCCTGTGTGATCTCCGAAAGACGTTATCCAGGCTCCGAGTCCAACGCTCCTGTCACACACAACCCGTGTGACCTTGACAACCCGTGTGAGCTCTGAGACGTTAACGGGCACCCCTGTCACCATGTAACCTCTGAGATTTTCTAGGTTTTTCTGACCATAGGCTTCGATACCACTTGTTGGAGTACGCAGCAGAATTTGGCCTGGCTCGCTAAACCCACATGTCGGTGCCCCTCGGGCCTAGGTCTACCGGAGCCCCGCCTTAGGCCTAACTCAACCTAAAAGACTAGGTGAGGACTCCCCCGCCTTATATGTTGTTGTCCTCCAACATCAATTACCGATGTGGGACTAAACCTAACATGATGACATGTGGGCTAGCATAGGATGAAGTGCATCCATCCAGTCAGGATGACCAGGGAAACTTATTTTGAGCGTGTTCACTAGGCCTGGATAAACATGTATTTTTGCATATGCTCATGCACGCTGCATCTACTCAACAGGCAACCAAATATACTTCTTTCTCAGATTAAGTATTATGTTTGGCTAGATATCAGGTCCAGTGGTAGCGCTGTGCTGTTCAGTGGGACACTACTCTGGTAATCGCACCATTTTCTAGATTTTTTTCCAAAAATTTTAGGGTACACGCAGGTGTGCGCGTTCGGTGGTACCGCGTGTTTCCCGCGCACTGGAGGTGACTGCCTCCTAATCTCTTCTTTGCGTGTGTATGGACGCACGCGTGTGTGCGCATGTGGTGTGAGTGTGGAGTGCGTGAGTTGTGTGTGTCTAAGTTGTACCCGATAAAAAAAAGATATCATATTCCTAGAAATTATACCGGCTAGACAGTAACATCTAGAAAAAATGATTTTAAGAGAAAGGGTCAAATCATTTTTGGACGGGCAACTTAGCGACCATCTCCGTAAATGCTTAGGGGGTCTCCAGGAAAACTCCTGCCTCCAAAAATCATTTATGGAGGCAGATGTCCTAATACGACCGTCTCTGAATATCATCGAATAATGGAGGCTATCGTCTTAGGATGTTTGTCTCCGTAAATCAATGATTTTTGGAGGCGGTTGTTCTAAGCGTCCGTCTTCTAAAATCGATTTACATAGACTATAAATAGTTGCATCAGAAAAATAATTCATAATTTCTCATATGAACTTGGATGAAGACATTCCATGTATCAAAATTGTAGTTCTCGATAGTATTAACAACTTTTTAGTTGAAAAGTTTTTGAATTCAAACTGTTTAGGGCCTCCAAAATATTGTTGTAAGTTCATATATTTTGAAATTTAAAAGTATCAAATAATCTTGAATGTTGACATGATCTATATAAAATTATAGTCTGGATACAATCTACAGCTTTGTAGTTGAAAAGTTTTTTAATTAAAATCGTTTAGTGTTCCAATATTTGTTCTAAGTTTACAAATTTTGAAATTCCAAATTTAGAATTCCTAAACGATCTCGAATGTTCACATAGTTAATATCAAAGTTGCAGTGATCGACCTGATCTACATGTTTGTTGTTGACGAGTTTGGAAGTCGTTTAGAGTCTCAAATATTTGTTTTAAATTCAGATATTTTGAGATTCAATTTTTTTGAAATTTTCAAGCAATCTCGGATGGTGATACATCATACATCCTATACCAAAGTTGTATTACTTTACAAGATTTAAAACTTTGTTGTTAAAAGTATTTTTCATTTGAGTTCATTTAGTAGCTAAAATATACAATATAAGATTATGAAATTTTAATATAAAAGAATATAATATTATATATAAACACAAATGATTGTGTGGTGCAGTTGTAGAGAGGAGGAAGTGTTGAATTAGGTTGCAGTTGCGTTCGATTCTAAGAGTTGCAATTTTTTGGGGTTTTGAATTTTTTGGAGACTAACAGAACGAAAAGCCTGATTAAGGGAGGCGTTTTGTTCGAGGCGGATACTGTGCCGCCTCCATTAATAATAAAATAACCACCTCCAAAAAATAATTTTAGTAGTAGTGGATTAGTAAACAAGTTAGTTGCTTTCCTTTCCAAAATAGTCATTTACATACTAATTAGTGAACAGATTAGTTTTTTTACTAGCAATATGCATATAAAAGTCACAATTCTTTAGGGCATTACAGGTATTTCTTCCACAGTCTACATTTTCATAGCTACTCTAACCAAACGGTCTTTTGCTTTTCCCACAACTACTTTTCTACATCTGTTTTTTTCCCGACCCATAATTCACAACAGTTTTTCCAAAAACCATGGCTCAACCAAACAAGACCTGAGTCTTATCTATGGACATAACCAAACAAGTCCTTAGTATCTCGTTCCTTCAAATAGGTCATATCTATCGGCTCATCAATTTTTATCTCACGTGTACTAGTAATTTTATCTTTTAAATATACTAGAGTTTATTATCTTTACTATCAAATATGTCCATGGTTGCGACGGGACTACAATCTTTTATACTTGCCGGCATCATGAACGTGGACGGCAAAGCCGCGCACTGACCCAACGTCCACGACCAGATGGCTTGAACCAACAGCAAAAATCATCTCTCTCTTCTTCGCGTAGGGCTGCTCGGCCACTGCTGCGAGCTTTGCGCCTGCTCCTATGCATTCCCTGTGCTTGCTCCCATGCGAGCCCGCGTCACTTTGAGCCGCTGCCCGCGCCTACTCCTATAGGCGTGCGCAAGCTTGTGCCGCCACAAGGCGCTGCTGCCTAGGCCTGCTCAAAAATTAACGAAAGGGACATGGAAGAAATAGACTGCCAATGGAAAGAAAAAGAGAAACGGTAATGCTGTGCTAAGGACGTTCGTCCGTTTAGATGCTTCTGATGATGGACCATGACACCAGCCCAATAGCTCAACTTTCTACTTGCGTATCTACTCGCCCCAACCTTATCTGCTCGTGAGTCCGTCCATTCTTTCCATTCACTGCACGACTGTTGCGTCCGCACTGCCGTGGGCGCTCTCCACCGCGTGCGTGCTCCAGCGCGCCCACGCCGCCGTGGTGCTCTCCACCGCGACCACGTCGCCACGGCGCTCTCCACCGCGCACGTGCTCCAGCACGACCGCGCCGCTGCAACGCTCCACCGCACCTGACCGGCGTCGTCCTCTCTCTCCACCACGCTCCAGCGCCGCCACCCGCATCCTTCCTCTCCATTGGGCCATCCGCCCTCCATGGCGTTCTCCACCGTGCCAGCCGCCTTGTCCATCGGAGCTGTGTGCCACTCTGCAACATCGAGCTCCACGTTGACGAGCCTCCATTCGTCTAAGCAGCAAATAGATGCTACGCTGAAAGCGCATGTTGCAACTTGCAAGAGTATATTTCAATTGTTTCAGAGGTATGTTGCAAGTGTTGTGTATCGATGTTGCAAAAATAGATCGGGATGTTGCACATGTTGTAATGGCTGTGCACGTATGTTTCAAGTATATATTCCAAATGTTTCATCTGCTCTAGACGTACGTTGCAAGTGTTTTATCTGGAATATGCATATACATGCATGTTTGCAAGCATATATTTCAAGTGTTTCAGTGTTTCATCTAGATGTTGTATATGTTTGCAATGGTTTTCAAGTATTTTTCAGATATTTTTTCGCAAGTGTTTCAGACGCTTGTTTCAAGTGTTTCATCTGTCTTCAAACGTATTTTGTAAGTGTTGCATCTGGATATTTTAAAAGTAGATCGGGTGTTGCATCTCCCTCACTTTCTGATGTCTCATCTCAGTGTTTCCTCCTCCCAGTGTAGGCTGGGCATCCGCCGCCCTCCCCCTCTTTCTCGATTCTAGTGACATGCCAGGTGACGCGGGCCCTACATGGGCACACAAAACAGCTGCAGGCGCAGACGTCCGGACGCCTCGTCCGTCCAGACATCTAGGCGCTAGCAAGCCCCAAAGAGAAAAGGGTAGGGGGGGGGGAGCGGCAACGGTGGAGAGAAGGTTGTCACTGTTGGAAATCGCATAAGATGCTCATATTATGTTATAGATATTGTTATTCTTTTTCATATAGTTGGTTAAACTTTTAAAAGTTTGTCTAGCACGGATTCTAGGAATTGATTTATTTGATAACAGAGGGAGTAGTCTATATTTACATAAGATTTTTATGTTTACCATTATGTGGTTTCGATCTAAATCTTACATTAGGATCTCCAATTCAACATAGAATCTGCAATTTCGATAACCTCTCGTCATGTGACCGCGCCTCCACACCAGAACATCACGCCCTGTCACCGCCCTGACCGCCCATACGCGCACGGCTGCCACATGCCGTCTCGCCCATGCAGCTCTAGACGCCGCTGCACAATCTGGGCCGTTGCATGCTGTAATCGGGTTACGTGTATAAAACTTCGAACCGGACACTACTCTTCAAGAGATCAATCGAAGTTCTCAATCTTGATTGGAGTTATATCATCTGCCACCTCAAATTTCCCAACTAGTCTCGCAAAGAACACCATCATTTGCTCCAAGGTGAACTTGATGTTCTCTGCCTGTTCAAAATCAAGAAAGAAGTTACAAAATCCGTGCAGGTTGACAGTGTCGAAGGTGCTGAGAGTCAACATAAGTATACAGTGAGGTAACAACCTTGCGGAACCCATGCTGCTCTCCTTCATATTCCACCAAAGCAACAGGCAACCCTTTCTCTTTCAAGGCATTGTATATTTTGCGTGCCTGATCTGGTGGCACAACCTGGAAAACATTGAAGCAGATGACAAATTATGCTATAGAAACACCGATATACCACCGAGTAATGCAGCTATGATAAATATCACAGTTCATGGTCAACAAATACCTTATCCTCTAACCCTTGAAACAAAATGACTGGACACGTAAACTGGTTGACAAAGTTGATTGGTGATCTCTCATAGTATGCTCTTTCATTTCCTAAAGGAACACGAACGGGATGAACAATTAGATGTAAATAAGAGCAGGAAACTGAGTTAACATCTTCAAAAAGAAATGATAATACCGTCTCTTACCTACAAGATTGTCCATATAATGGGACTCAAATTTGTGTGTCTCTGCTCTCAACAGAGTCAAGTCCCCAACCTAATCATTGATTGATAATACCGCAATACAGTTAGTTACTATGGTTGTTTACATAAAAAGAAGGCCAAAATTACATAGCTATAGCAATCAAGCAAATGCTAGCACACCAAGCCAACAGCATATTTTGACCATTCTACTAATGCAAATTACCAAGCACAAACATGCAGTATTGCTTTAGCACCATCATAAAGTATGCCAGGATTGTTAAATGATTAGCTCCATCTATAAAGCAATATCAATATAAGAGTGTGCATAGGACTATAGGACCAAAAACATGTTAATGAAAATTATAACCCTGACTACATTAAAAAAAATTTGTAACTCTGACACGGGCACATAAGTGCAGAAAACAAGGTATCTGACACTTGGACAAAAGGATTAAGGGGGTATATGGTAAATTGCTCAGCAAGAATAGAATAAATACAAGTGCTCAGCAAGAATAGAATAAATACAAATATCTGGCATATATTTATGGCAAACACAATAGTAGATTCTAGAAATCTAAAACTTACACCATACAGAGAAGCTCCAGCCTTGAACGTGTCTCTGAATGCAAGTGCAGCTAAAGTAGTGTATCCACCTGCTGATCTGCCAGTAATACAAAGGCGCTGCCCATCTACTTTGCCACTCTCCACCTTAATATGAAAGAATCAAACATTAAGGTGAATTCTTATCACCTCCAAAGTTAAAATGCCAATTCAACATTAGAATTATTGCTCAAAGGATGTACCAAGAATCTCGCACAGCTGCAGCAATCATCAACATCGACAATACCCCATTTGTCCAATAGTCTCTCCCGATACTCTCTTCCATAACCTTCAGTTTATAAGTCGATGAAGTTCAACATTATTGAATGTCCTGGAGTATCATTATAGATAAAGGGTTTAACCTAAACAATCAAAGTTAAGGACAAACCAGTGCTTCCTCCATAGTTGACATCCACATATGCCCAACCTCTACTTGTCCAATACTGGACACTGAGGTCCAGAATTGCACGTGTTTCAGCAGTAGGTCCTCCTGAAAATTTAGAGCGTTAAAGCATTCAGTGATTTTCATCCGAACAGAAAAAATCCAAGCAAAAACCATTTATTTTAGTTAAATCTAAGAAAACACTTAAGCTGAAATACATTGTACATGTATTTTTTTCTCGAAAAACGCAGGAGAGCTGCGCATCATTATATTAAGAAGTAAAAAGGGAAAGAACCCAAACAACACATCATTATACATGTATAACTCTTCTTTCTTTTTCTTTCTTTTTTTTGGGGGGTGGGGGTCAAACTGAATAATTATTCCAAGGCATAAAAAGGTCTCAATAACTCACTTACCATGTGTTTTGACAAGCAACGGAGGTTTTTCATCAGCCAAACCTTGAAAATTGGGATTTGACGGTGGGTAGAAATAGGCATAAGCTTTCTGGCCAGGTTTGGATGTAGGGAACTCAACAAGTTCTGGTGTGCTGAAGAAAGGTCTATATTGTACGAGGTCCGGTGAGGAGGACCAGACTATTGAGAAATTGACTACTTTTGTTTTGCTCTCATTTAATGTCACCTGGATGAAACAATTGATGCATCAATTGAAACGATACACAAAATTGCACATCATCAACATATAAACAAAATTGTGAATCTGATATCTGATAAACCTTAGCAATCGACCGTGGAATACTTGCAGAAGCACCTTCAATATAGAAGTAATCATCTGAAGCAACCTGCCAGATCAAGCAAGTAACAAGCTAATATAAGTCATGAAACAAACATATACACCTCAAGTTTTCAAAGTGGCAATGAAGATTTTGTCACGTACCACATCAGATAAATCAGAGAAAGGGATGTCAAGCAATGAAACAGAACCTGAATCACAATCAAGCACACCAAGATGTGACCTTCCTTTCTGCCTGCAAGGCATAGTTATTGTGATGGTACATGAAGATGTTTCACAAACAAAAGCAACATAGATTTTTTTTCTTCAATATTATTGATACCTATAACTGAAAACAATGTGGTCGCTGTTTCCAAGAAAATCATACGAGCTGATGCCAAAAACCCACAATGGTGTTGTAAATTCAGCGTCTAGTGAATACACTGGTACAATCTCATTGGTTTGTTCAACCTGATGACAAAGTAGCATACTGAGATTACATGACAAATATAGTTCAGATGATGAATTAGAAAAAAGGAATATAATAACAAGTTTAGCTCATTCATGAGTCACATGGGTTATGAACTCTTGACTTTATTACTAATCTCAGTTAAGTGTGGCCAAAATACAGTTACAACACTGTCAGAAAAGCTCAAGAGTTGAGAGAAAACTGCTTACCCATTTATAAATGTTCCAAAATCCACTCCCTCTGTCAGTAACAAAAAACAGTTCTCCTGCAAGTTGAATGCTTTAGATGAACTAAAGTATAAAGTTAGTAGCCACAATACTGTGCAAGAAAAATATCGTTATCGCCTACCGATGTTCTATATGATATAATTAGTTCATTCACTAAGCAGTGTGAATTGCAGACAACAAAAGGGCAAAGACCACTCAAATAGCAATGCATCATCCAACTGATTAATGATAAAGCCCCTTCCATTTCTTCTAAGAATAATTAAGTTATGTACACCCTCCATTCCAAATTGTAAGTCGTTCTAGCTTTTCTAGATACATAACTTTTACTATGTATCTAGATATAATGGATATCTAGGCGCGTAGCAAAAGCTATGTGTACCTAGAAAAACCAGAACCACTTATAATTTGGATGTGGATGGAGGGAGTATTCATTTATATCATGGACATGGGCCACACTAATACATTTTATTTGGAACAAAGGAAGCTCAAGGAAATGTTGAATGTCCCAATGATGCAAGACTAACAGAAACAAGCAACACAAAACTTCAATAGAACATAATGAGATCCCATTTTTAATACGCAGTGTGAACAAAGAATACGAGTATGTTAAAGCTTGAAACTATAAAATTTTGAAGTACTTTCCAATAAAAAAAGATACTTAGCTGATGTTATTATCACTGAACCATACCGATAATTAGCATTTTTAAAATAATCAAGTGTACATACAAATACAGCAGAAAAAAGGATACCTTTGGGAGACCATTTAGGTTCACTAGGAGATTCAATCAGCAGTGGATTGCCACCGGCAATACAGACCCGTTTGGCCAAGTCTCTGCAGACACAAAAATACATGGGGCTAAATCAGCAAAAGTTGGAAAGGGGAATTCAGCTATATGGACATGTTTAGTGATGTACAAAAGTATCACAGTACCATGCTGTAAGCTCAAAATAACAGCGCTACATAATCTCTATGGTACTAGGCTACTAGCAATTCAGTGTTTGCCTATGCAACCTTCAAGTCTTGAGTTTGTCAATTGATTACAAAATAATCATACAAGTCCAAGTCAAACTGACAGGAAAAATAGGAGGAAGTACCTGGTTTTCTACAGCTACTATGTGTTGTATTAACTACAATGTGATTTATTGTCTTTTAGATATTTAATACATGAAATGGCCCTTTAGGGGTATTAGAAGCTGTTATCAAAATCCTTGTGCATATTCATCAAGATAGTGTTGTGGATATGCATGAACACCATCCTGACAAATATCACCTAATCGTGCAGTTTATTTGATGCAGACAAGATAGTGCTTTTATTCACAATATAAGAAAAGAGTTGTTCTAATATGTTCATTCACAAGATAATTACAATTACCCGCTCTCAGCGAAGTAACCAACCCAGAGTTCTGATTTATCCCAGGGCATGTTTGGATGGCTCCATTCAATCCATGCTATCCGCTTTTTATTTTGATCAATGCGAGGAAATGCATAGAAATCATTGCCACTGATCAACACCTTTGGTTCTTCGATATAGAAAATATGTAAGTTAGTGTCGTGAAGGAAAGATGGATAAACATCAAAAGAAAGCATAGATCTAATTTGGTAGCTGTGGTAACATTCTCTGGAAATATTACCATGAACATCACTGCCACTCAAGTCTATAGCAGCAATTGTTGTGGTGGGATTCAAGCTATCCTTTCGACGATCTATCAAAATATATGAGCATGTTAGAAGTTTGTTGGGTAACTATATATATTAGAACCAAATCATAGGTCAAGTACCTTCCACCACAGTAACATAACGGCTGAAGTGAGGATCAAATACACCGTCAGCATAACTGACATTCGGCGCACCATAATCGGGTGTAAGAGGCACAGGTGGAGCACCAACTGACAAGGTAAACAAGAATGCACGGTTAAAAATAATGCAAATAGTAAGCATATATACATCACATATTGCCCCAAAGAACATGAAAAACATAGTAAGCATGATTTGGTCAAAGGTGTCAGGTACTAAAAACGGATAGACTAGTATGTGGTGGGATATAAATTTGCAACATTTTCCACATTACTTAAAAATAAATAATGAAAGTAAATACCACATACTTACAATTTCTAAATTTTTAATAAACATCAATTATATAATGTTAGTTTTAACCAAGTCTCAACAATAAGAGCATAGCAGCCTACTTAGTACTTACTTCCTAATGTTTGCTTGTATAGACGTTGATCCTTGTAATTTGAGAACACAACAACACTCTTGTCAACTGCAAATGCACCACCTCCATATTCTTGAGCCAGGGTGCGTGCTGCAAATTCCTGAGGTATGACATCCACAGGATTATCCTCCTCCTTTACAATAACCATACGCCTGAATACAATTTAATTCAATATGATCAGGGGCAGATCTATAAAAATATGTTAGGAGGGGCTCGTTCCATTATCTTCTACCTCTAGCCCCTCCTTCCAAGCTTCTATGGCTACAAATTTGAGAACTAGTCCCTCTGTGCCAAAATAGTTAACACTTCAGCTATGAATCTGAACAAAAGTTTGTCCAGATTCATAAGTGTCAACTATTTTTGGGACAGGGAGTACAGAGGAGTTGAATGTACTGCACTACTAAGCAGATGCAATCGATACAGGCACCAATGGAAGCAACAAACATTCAATGATTGCCAGGTAGTAATATTCTGACAATATGTTCCATTATACAGCAACATTCTTGCGGCATCATGTTGATTAGCATGCAAGTGCTCAGACATGCAGAGTGCAGAAATAAAATGTAATATAATCCTGATTCTCAAATTACTTCTCTGATCACAAATATAAGTCCATCCAGGTTTGCCTAAATCAAACTTTTTTAAAAACTTTTATAGATACCTTTATAGATATGGCTAGTCACAGTTTAAAAAGTATGACTCAGGACAAACCTAGTTGGACTTATGTCTGTGATCAGCAAGTCGTATATCTGTACATGTTAAGTTCCTCAAACTGGCTTCATTTTGTGGTATTTTCACTTAGGAACTGTAAATCTGTCAAGTCTTTTTGCTATTGTCATCTGGTATGTCCTGTTTTAGCTTGTTCATACAGACAAAACCACATCACTTGATCTATTTCTTGCCCCTCAATTCTTTACTCAAGTGCTGCTATTGCTCCAATTGAACAGAGAAAAAAAAATCCAATAATACTTCCTTTCACAATGTCACCGTCTTATTTTTATTCATTCACAATGTCTTCTTGCTTGTATAATATCCATGCACAAACAACTACAGTGCATCCACTTACCAGTTACCACCCACAGGATATATAACTAACCCCATGTAGTTAGATGCCCCTAAAATCTACAATACAAATTAATGAAACATAAACTGACTAATAAATATTCTGTGATGCACTGCTAATGGACTTACACAATTACAGATCATGTCTAATCCAACATACAGCTGTTCAAGGCCGCAAGGCACAAATGCGAAACTCTTTCATGTTTCATGGGGTTTAATCGGTATATACAACAACAACGATGCGTTCTATTCCCAAGCAAGGGCTGGGCGACTGGGCCACTTAAGCAGGTTGGGCAAGGTCACTTAAGCAAGTTGGGTTTAATAAAAAATATGTAACTAAAACTAGCAAGGAGCAACACCAAAACTTTCAGAAACATGATCGCGTGCGTGTCCAATGTCAACGCCTTGGCCACTAAACCTCGGGAGCGGATTTCATTTACCCTTTCTCCTCGGGGCGGCCCTCGATCCAGAGAAGGCGCCCATCCCCAGCGAGGGCGATACCGCCGAGGCGCTTATCCGCGCCGGAGACGACGTCAGCAGTGATGGGCGACCTCCAGGACCCGTACGGCGCCACCGCAGGCTTCTCGCCGCCGGCCGCCGCCGCGGCGGGCGGCGCGGAGGAGGCGGCTGAAGAGGAGGACATGCGGGACTGCGAGGGATGCGCTCGCCGGTGGCTGAAGCTGGGGAGAGCGCGGTGGAGAAGGTGGGCCGGGGCGGAGGTGGGACTGCGCACGGGCGAGAAGATGGAGGCGAGGCGTGTCGCCATTTGCGGGATGCGGGGTTCTGTTTTATATGGTTTTTGTGGGGGGTTTTCCCTCTTCTCACAGGGGCAGACCGGCAGCGCAGCCTTGCAGTCAGGACTGCAGTCTCATCCTCTATCTCTCACCTTTCAAAAAAAAAAAAATCTCTCTCTCTCTCTCTCTTCAAAAAAAGAAGAAGACGACGACTGCAGGCTCTCGTTCTAGCCCGGGAATTTTATCAACTCATTTTTCAATACACATTTTTCTTCTTCAAATACATTTCTATGTTTCACTTCTCCTTAGCTCTATTAAACTCTCACTAGACTTCCTTTTCTGAAATCAACCAAACAGGAGAACGGTTGTATTAATAAAGGAGCTCCAGACTGAACAAACGACGAAAGATCCAGATTGGACGAACAATAGTCCCACAGAAAACAACCCTCCAAATTATAAAACATTTTTGCTTTTTTTTCTCTAGATACATTGTTTTTATTTAGATATAATAATGTATAGCAAAAGTTACTGGTAGCTGCCAATTATACATAATGTCTGGTCTAGACTTTTCTGTAGATACGTATAGAAACATGAGAGCTATCGATTATACATTATATCTAGATACATAACTTTTATATTAGTAGATATATGTGTTGCACGCGGTAACAATTTTTTTTGGTCATGCCTATGCCAACACACGTGGATTGTGGTTTAGATGAACTAAGAGAATACCCCACACGTTGCTGCGGGATTCCAGATAATTTAGACAATTTATATTTATAGTTATATGAATAAAACTATCTTAAATTAATTTTCGTGAATGGTTTGACATATCTACGTGGACAACTAAATACATGTTAGTGGGTGAAGAGATAACTATCATAAATCACATGTGCTAGTTGGCTATAATTGCAAGTTTCAGTTGATTGTTGATGTAGATAGCTTGCATGTTGAGAGAAATCTCTAATAGGATTTAGTTTTATAAGAGTATATGATAGGATATGAAGTCTATATTATGATTTCTATCACCAAAATTGTGTAGTAGATCAAGAGGAAGATTGCAAAAAAAATATAAATTAACATGATAAATATAATGATGTTAAAAGCCAAACAAGCAATGGCCAAAGTTAGCTTCTTCAAAATTGCATCTCAAATTCATGCTTTCCAGGCTCCACCATAAACTGGTCAAGCACCTTACCACTGCCCCGCTACAACAGAGAGAAGATAAAGACCAGAAAAAAACCCCACCTAAATCACCAACACCATTGGCCCTTGCTCAGACATCTATGTGTTGTCTGCCGTCGGCACGCGCGTCGCCCACTCCTTACCCACGTGCACGCGTCGTCCTCGCCTTGACCACGCACTCACTGCCACCGTCCCGCTAGATGAGATGCTACATTCTAGAAGAGGAGTCACTTGGCCACGATGGCCTCTCCTCGAACGCCTTGCCGTGTGCAACCAGTGAGCACCCTTGGTGAAAGGTCCTTGTTTGGTTTTAGTAATTGAGTGACAATATTAGGTGGACTAATGTGTTTAAATGTGAGATACACAGGTGATTAGTCAATATGTACACTTGTGTGAGCAACTCATGCCATGCCGGTGAAGATGGCTTGGAATTGTTGCAAGGCTCACACATGTGATGAAGGAGCTCATTGCATATGAGACATGACATAGAGTCATGTGACTAAGGTAGAGAAGATCAAGACAAGACTTGGCTTGATGGACCGGTTGCAAGCATGAAGGGCAAGTTGGAGGCTTTGAAGCGATGGACCGCGTGGTGGTGAAGCTTGAGCAAGACTTGGCGCCGATGGACGAAGGCAACGGTGAAAAACAAGTGAGGTCAAGATCGATGAACCAACAAGGTCACGTGATGATATGAAGTGGATCATATCATTTGTTGATCAAGGTTGGTGCATGTGTTATATCAACATTGTAGGAGATGGAATGGAATGCTCAAGACAAAGGTATATTTATAGGGCATTTTATTTCATCGGTCAAAGGTTGTGTAGAGAAGTGCATGACCGGGTTTAGGATAGATGGCCTTACTATCAAGAGGAGCAAACTTATTTGCATATCGGTCATCTAGTGTCACTTGAGCGATCTAACTTTGCATACGTGTTAGGATCGAGTGGCGTGGTGAAAAGAGTGATTGATCCTTTAGAAAATGTTTGTGAAAAGCTAACACACGTGCACAAGTTGGTAATCACTTGATAGTGCTAGCACATTTGCAAAGGCGTAGTCAAAAGGTGAAGAAATGAGGTGAAACCGGGCTTGGGGTGCTGCCACAGGGGCCCACCGCCTCGCCACGCCCGGTGCACCACGCACACCTATCTGCAGGTGGCACCGCCTTTTTACCCTTTACGAGGGCATATCGTGGCCGGTCACCGAAGGAGGTGCGAGAGCAAGAGCGGTGTTGGGGCTAGCACCGCCACCGTGCCCTGCTAACGTGCTTTGGTTGTCCAATGGCACATCCACCCCTAGGCGGTGCCCACCTGACCTCGGTTCAGAGCAACAGAGAAAGGGAGGTCACCACCCTGACCGGTGTGCACCGTCGTGGGGAGGCGGTGGCACCGCCAGGGGCTGTCCGGTGCACCGTCGGGGGCACCGCCCCTTTTTACCTGAGGGCAGCTGCAATGGGGCTGGTCACCGCCATGGTGACGGTGGTGCACCGCCCTATTTTTTTTAGAGGTTGGTGTTTTGAGTGGCTAGCAGGGTGGTCACCGTCACCCCTAGGGCGGTACCACCGCCACCCTGTCTGGTGACTAACGGCTAGTTGAAATAGCCGTTGGAATTCGACCGTTGGGCGGGCACCGCCATGTCCGATGCTAGGCACCGCCGTGTCTGGTGCCCTCGCAAAAACCAACAACTTTGCTCCAACAACTTTATTGGCTTGGGGCTATAAATAGAGGTGAAGCTCGGCCTTGGGCTAGTTGCTGAGCACACTAGAGCCTTGGTGGCTTATGTGGTGGTGCTTAGGTGCCCTCTAACTCACTTGTGCTTGATTGTGATCATCCGATCGAGAGAGTGAGTGATTTCTAGTGCGTTGCATCGTGAGGTTGCATCGAGTGGCACTAGGTGTTCGAGTTATAAGCCGATAGTGCTTGCTACTTTTGGAGGTTGCCACCCGTTGATAAAAATGTGGCGATGTGATCAACACACAACAAGCCGAAAGATCTGAGTAGAACAAGACCAGAGATCTGCTTGGCTTCAACACAGAACCAGTTGATTCTAAAAACCCAACGATGTGCCAATCAATTTGACCTGCAATTGACAAGAAGAAAAAATCTTATTAGTAATTTAAGGTGGAACATGTCGGTGTTGCACCAAACAGTTTCAAATGTATGGCTAGATAGCCGATTCAATGAGGCTATCGACTAAATAGTCGATATCCAGCGTATCCATGAAATGAAGATCTTTAAATAAAGAATTATCGGCTAATATTAATGATAATGATATGAATCAAAATAACCGATGCTCATGGAACATCAAAAAGCATCATCGGCTAAATGGAACATAATCGATATAAAGGGTCGAGCCAATAAGTTTGATGAAAATATTATAACATGCCAACAAATCGACTGTCTAATACAAATGAATCTACAAACAGTTTTGAGTCTAATCTATTATCATCAACAGTGAGGTTCGATCGGATCGATGCAGCTATGATAATAATAATAAACTAAAGCCAAAGAATCTATAAAGCCATCTATATGTTGATAGATTCATAAAAACATGCTATATGTGTGAGAGTATAGGCAAATCGGCTAAAATAGCCGATGCGGTCATAGCAAATAAACAAAGTACATTTCTTGATCACGAACAAGACCACCAATCAATAATTTCTAATCTAAAGTATTACAAGTGAGGTTCGACCGGATCGATGCAGCTATGGTAGTGTTATTAGATTAGATCTCATTAACTAGTGAGTTTATTCAAGATTAAAACATGTCTTTGGATGCATACTAGGTTTGATTGGAATAGAGATAAAACAACCGATCTAGCGGAATTAAGCCATCAATTATAAGATTTAAAGCGTGATCAAATCAAAGGACGACCAATTAAGATGATATAATGCCGATCTATCTCTATCTCAATCGGATGATTTTGTTATAATTAATAAAACATTAATTATAGCAAGATCGATAACTGATGAATCAACAAAAAATAACAAGGAAAATCTTACTAATCTTAGCAGATTCAATAACTGGTGATATTGTATTAAATAACAAGTTATTTAACACAAGATCGATAACTTTGATGTATATTATGATTCTTAAGGGATCAATCAGCTGATGCAGCCTTACAAACTACGATACAGATCGATAACTAACTTATATTATGACTCATAAAAGATCAATCAGCTGATGCAGCTTTACAAGCACCATACAAGTCATGACGGTACTCACAAGCAAGCTGTGGGTCGATCAGTCGATGCAGCCCTAATGCGATGGCGAAAGCCATAAAGATTGTATTGATTGAGTGTTCGTTTATTTTTACAATAAACAAGGTCTAATATTTATACCCGGAACCTAAACATGAATCCTACTCAAATACGACTCATTACAATTCTTGGAATAAAAGAAAACTTCCTAACTTAATAATTAATTGGACCCTAATTTTCCTTATTTGTAGAGTCCGACACATCTTCCTGGCGCCATTCAAGTATAGCACATTGACGCCGTCTGCTGACGTCATCTATAAAATAGCCGATTCTGACATCGCATCTAAATTAACTGATACCGATTCACATCTAATCGATTCTTCGATGACACAATCCTGGAAGCTTCGATTTTTCGCGTTCTTGTTCCCAAATTTGGATGTAAACACATGCCCCCAATTTTGGGATAAAAATAATTTTATTCCAAAATTTCTATTTATCTGCTCACCGTGTTGTGACTGCTCATTCCAAAATATACACGTGACTCCTGATTTCTCAGGCCAAATTCTATATAATACCCCAATTGTATCATTTCCAATTGGCTTGGCCTGCTACTTTCCCCTTTTCTCTTGAACAGTCAAAACCGCCACCACC